TTCATAATTTATGGGGACATCCCCAAGTGATGAAAAAGTTTGGGCAAAATTTTGGTAAGGAAAATAATAAAGACCAAAACGTTTTTCGCAAAGGGATGTCCAACTCGTTTGAATTCAATATATGAATAACTAGAAACGAGTTTCTTTTTTCTTATAAAGAATTATTAATGCTTTTTTTGTTTTTACTTAATAAATATTGAAGATATTAATTTATATCCACAAAATTGGGATATTTGTGCAAAAATTTTAGATATTTTTAAAATTTTTAATGATGTTTGCCTTAAATTTAGTGGGTTTTATTATCCACATCTCATTTATTTTTTACTTGTGTATTAATATTGTTAGTGCCTCCAAGAATTTGAAAATGATTTGTATATAAATGATTGTATTTTTTTTTTCAAATGAAAAAAAATGGTTATCTTAATTTTAAAAAATATACCACCCTTTATTTGTGCCTATTGAATTTTGATCCTAGATGTAAAATTAATGTTTTAAATGTGAATATTTGACTATTTATGTAGAGGCTCATCGAAGTAGTGTATGATCTTGATATGGGAGATAATGTTTAATATGAAATGCTGAGTATGGAATTGCATTGAAGATTAAACACAAAATATTGCATGAAGTTAGACAAAATATTGTAGAATTATATGGTGAATTTGTTCAATTTTCTAGTTCATCTACTTCTAATTCTTCTCAATTCAATAATCAAAAATTTCCAACTCAAAGGGTAAGTATTGGTGTTGCTGAACGCATTTTACTACAAAGACAAAAAAGACCAAGGGAATCCTGTTCTTTTTCTGAATTTGATAATTATCTAACCACTTCTTTCGAGTTTGGTGATGATTATGTAGATAATAAATTTTCAATTTTAGATTGGTGGAATCGTCACGCCAATACATTTCCAATACTTTCTTTAGTTGCAAAATAAGTTTTAGCAACTCTAGTCTCCACTGTTGCGGTTGGACAAGCTTTTAGTCAAGGAGGAAACATAATTGATGAAATACGATCTTGTATGACACCCGATTCACTAGAAGCACAATCATGCGTGGATGATTGGAGCAAGGCCGAAATAAGAGCACAAGAAAATCTCACAGCACAAGAAAATTTAAAAGAACATGAAGATTTATATGATTTATCGTGGGTGTCGCTCACGGGAACATCAACCGGATGGTCGCAATAGGCGGACTAAAGTAAAGGGGTGAATTGGTATAGAGGTAAGTAAGAATATATGAATTCCTCTAAACCCCAAAGAGGATACGTAGGGCGTAACTTTTAATTTTTTTTTTTAAAAAAAAAAATTAAGTTGAAGCCTTTTTTTTTTTTAAATTAATGATTTTTTAATAAAAAAAATTCAGTTAAAAGAATTTTTTAAAAAAATAATTAAATTCAAGTCCTTTAAAAATAAATGTTAATTGAAGCATTTTTTTTTAATTTTTTTATGTTATTTTTTTTTTTTTTTTAACAAATACTTTCACCAATTTATTAAAATTTGAAAAAACCGATCTTCAAAATTTATTTTTTTTTTTTTTTACAAATAACTTTCACAAATTTATTAAAATTTGAAAACCGATCTTCAAAATTTAAAATTTAAAATTATGCGATTTGCCGGAAAATCGAGCGGAACCGTCGGTTTTGACACCGTACCGGAACCGGAACCGTTCGGTTCCAAACCAGAACCAGAACCAAAAATTTTCGGTTTGGTTTCGGTTCCAATTTTTGTGGAACCGGAATCGCCGGTTCCCGAACCGTGGCCACCCTTACTTGTAGGTTGCAAGTTATGACACATATTCATCTTATGTTTGAATTTATGATTTTCTGAGTTTTATCTTTTTCTAGTTTTTACAAATGGAGTCCATTTATCCAATCATTTGATTCCTTTTCATCTAAATGAATATCTTTTTCAAATCTTATATAAATAATTGTCTATATATTTGAATTCAATGTCTGCATATTTTACCTATGTTGTCTCATCATGTCCAATATTTTTTTTTGAAAATGTAATTCGATAATAATAATATCAAGAATTACAAATAAACATATAGACCAAACATATAACTTTATTATTAGTAGATAACTGAGTTCGCTGATCTTTTAATGAAATGAAGGAATTCATATTCTTTTGAATAATGAAATTAAAACTAAAAAAATATAATATTAAATCCTTCCGCTTGGAATTGATCTTGATAAAAAATATAAATCTTCTATAACTAGATTGTTTTTCCAATAATTTGCAACATATGACGAATACAGATGAGTTTTCGTCACTATACATCAATAGCATCACTGGAAGAACATGTCATACTACCATGCTTCTTCGATTGAAGATCCACTTCTGCAAATCAAGATAAAATCTCTAACCAAACAAAATCAAAGATTATAATTTTATTGAGTAATAAACCCTCACGAAAAAAGGACTACCTCCACAAAAAAGGAACAAAAAAACTTCAAATATGGATACAACCAACAATGACAAAACAAAAAAGATAGATATGTTATAGAAAACAAATATGAGTTTATTAAAATAATAAAAAAAAAGATTAAAAGCAAAAGAAAATGAAGCGAAAGAGATAATAGAAAGTAGGAGATAGGGGCTACTACTGATAAATAGCGATAAACTCCAAACTAAAATTAGAGTTTAGAAAACTAGAGAGAAAAGTGGAAAAGAGAGCAGAACTTGTAATTTATTGTTTTCTCATCAAGTCCAATTATGTATTAAGTATTACTGTATGCTCAGAATTAAAATATATTTTTGAATTTAATTTTGCATTATTTAATTAAATAGACAAATAAGTAAGTGATTGTCGTTAAAACACAACAATCATTAAATTTAAATTATATATTTTTTGAGTTTTTTAAGCGTACAAGTTAAAGTGTCTCGTACAAAAAAATATTTAGACCAATATATTTATAACGTATCCACTTTTATTTAATTTTATTTATTATGAATTTTAAAAAAATAAATATTATAAAAGAAACCATTTGGACTCAAGCCTGTCATTCAACTAAAATGACGAAGTTGGAGCAAATTGATCATTTTAATACCGTAACCGACTAAATATAATAACGTCGATTAATCCTCGCGTTAACGTAATTAAGTTAGCGCCACGTTTTATTTATTTTTCTAGAAGAAAATTAGTGCCGCGTTGAATGAAAGTCATTAAAGTAATTATTTTTTTTTGGATATAATTTAAGTAATTACGCTAATTATCGCGTTGAATGAAAGTCATTAAAGTAATTATTTTTTTTTGGATATAATTTAAGTAATTACGCTAATTATATATTAGGGCCACATTCTACTATATACATAATATATTCTTAATTTTTGTTCATACAAAGTCTAAAACGGTAAACTCTTTCGTATATAAATTTAACTCAGACAGATTTTCAGTTGTACACAACGAAATCTCCACTTGTTTTAAGTTATAGAGTTAATCATCAGTTGATATATAATGGAGCTATCATTTTCCACCACCTTCTTTCCTTAAAATTTTTTTCACTCGCAATAACATCTCTAAAGCCTCAATTTCCCCATTATATACAAGAAGAAGTTACAAGGGACGTTATTCAAGAATTCGCTCCTTAAACCCTATTGTTGTAAAATTCCAATCCAACGTGGTTGAAACGACAAAAAGACGGTCTGCATATTATCATCCTAGCATTTGGAATCCAGAGTTGATCGAGTCCCTAACCACTCCCTATACGGTAAACTTCTATTTCTTGATTGTGTAATTTGATTTCATTTAGAGTTTGTTTGGCATTAAGGATATGATTTTTTTTTTTATAAAAGAAAACAATATTTTTTATGAGTATAATATTTAAAAAATTCAACTTAAAATATTCAATTTTTTTCATATTGCATGTGAAGTATGTCCTACGGATGAGATATATAAGTCAAAATATTTTATCAAAATCACCATAATTTTAATAAATGGTTTGTCAGGTCCATGTTTCATTTGTTAATATGCTTTGTCAAAATTGTCATTGCTTTAATTAAAGGGTGTTTTTTTTCACACACACAAAAAAAAAAAAAAAAAAAAAATATAACATTTAATATTTTTGTATAAACCTCTATTAGTTTTTCAATAAAACAATTTCCCTTTCTCAAATAGTATCATCTGTAACAAATGGCCAAACACACCCTTATATATATTTACAATGGTAACTTATTTATGTTGATATTGCCGTATGATTCTTCCAGCACCCGCTTAGAGGAGTTGGCACCCGCTTAGAGGAGTTGAAGCAAGAGGTTATAAGGTCCCTTGCATCCTCTAAAGATACTCCTTGTGTCCAACTTAAGTTAATCGATTCTATGCAGCGTTTGGGAATTGCTTATCATTTTGAAAAAGAAATGAAAGATACCTTAACCGTTGTTAAAATAGACACCAATTCAGATCTTTACACTGCAGCTTTACACTTTAGGTTACTAAGACAACATGCATTTCCGGTTAGCCCAGGTGAAGTTTTATATTATTATACTCGCTGTCTAGAATAAATAAGGATCAATTTGTCTTATTTTTTCTTATTTTAACAATAATTATATTCAACTAATTAACCACCAACCAAAATACATCTCCTTTTCCAATCTTCATAAAAATTTAGACCAAACAATTTCATACATTGAGATTCTCTAATAAAAGCCCTAATTAGGGCCAATGAAGTATTTATGTCCTTATTTGTAAGTTTTTCTTTGTAATTATCCATTTTTTCTTCTTTTCAAATCTTTTTTTAGGTACGAGATAATCTCATTTTAAAATTTGTAATTGTCTCTCTCTCTATAAATATTTTTCAACGGATGGAATCCTAATCTTACAAAAACCGTCCGTTGAATTCAAAAGTGTCTTACCACTCTGAATGAGCCATTTTCTTCTCTTTCTTCTCCACTATATAAACAACTGCAGACCCTCACTAACTTTTCCACTGAAAATCAAGAAACATACTTTCTTTCTCACTGCTTTCGAGAAACACTTTCAGTTTAACAATGGAAACAAATTGTTGGAGCTGGCCCAGCTGGGCTAGCCATGTCCGTTTGTCTCTCTAACATCTTGGTCTCCAATATTATGCTGGAAAAGGAAGATTGTCACGCTTCCCTATGGAAGCGCAGGTCGTACAATCGCCTCCACTTGCATTTAGCCAAAGAGTTCTGTGAATTACCCTACATGCCTCACTTGCCGGAGACACCTACTTTCATGCCAAAGGAAACGTTTATCGATTACATGGATAAATATGTTAGAGAGTATAATTTAAGTCCGTTGTTTAGTCGCTATGTTGTTTCTGCTTCTTTTGATCAAGTTTTAAGGAAATGGATTGTTGAAGCTGAGAATTCAATTTCAGGAGAAATTGAACGTTATGTTGCTAAGTTTTTAGTGGTAGCAACTGGTGAAAATTCCAGTCCCTATATTCCTGGGGTTCCTGGTGTTGATAGTTTTTCTGGGAGTCTGATTCACTCTAGTCAGTATAAAAATGGGTCTGAATATGGGTCTGATTCACCAGCCACCATCTTAAGTCATTATTGGGGAAGTTAGAGAAGAATAATATTTTAAGACAACAAGTGAAACAAGCATTGGATGTTCCTCTTCACTGGAGGATGCGAAGGATTGAGAATCGAAATTTTATCAATATCTACCAAAGAGATGATTCACACAACAAGGCTTTGCTAGATTTGGCTATATTGGATTACAACTTGGTACAATCAGTCTATCAAAGGGAGCTAAAGGAGCTATCAAGGTAAGATTTTTACTTATATTCTCCCCTCTTTTGGATTACAACAAAAAAATACTAGTAAATCTGATACAATGTTTATAATCATAAAAAAAAAAAAAAAAAAAAAAAAAATAAAAAAAAAAAAAAAAAAAAAAAAAAAAAAAAAAAGTATTGTAGCTATTATCTCTTTTTTGCCAAGTAATCTGCAAACGAGTTCATTCTCCTCTTTATATGAGATAACTAAACTTAAAGATAATAACTAAGTCATCAAATCTATTAAATATTTTTTACCATTCCCATTATCTTTTATTTTTTGTTGATAACCTAGGCAATAGCATTTCTTGAATCAGACTCAATGATCTATGGCCAACTATTATATTGCGATTCATAGAATAATTCTATCATTTAGGATGCTAAAAGTTAAGCCTCATTTGAATCCACAACACCCATAACTATGCATGTTAAATGTGTCTACCCTAACCTGAACTTTTTTTTTTTTCTTTTTCCTATGTGACTATGTGGTGGAACAATTTGGAACTAGCAAAAAATTTGAGGTTTAGTAGAGACAGAGTAATGGAGTGCTTCTTTTGGACCGTTGGAATGGCCTTGTTGGAATGGCCTTTGAGCCACAATTTAGCAGATGTCGTAAAGGATTAACAAAAGTGACTTCATTCATTACCACCATTGATGATGTGTATGATATTTACGGCACTTTGGATGAATTGCAGCTATTTACAGAAGCTATTGAGAGGTTTGTCTAATATTGACATCCATCCATTATCATATATTGTTAAATGACTTAATATATAAATTTGAACCTGTACTTTAAGCTATTATTTTTGTAGTCGCTTTTGAACTTTGCAGGAACCCATCATGACCGTGCACTTTCACATTTCAATAATAACTATATCCCTCGTCAAAATGAGATGTGAAAGTATAGGGTTATGATTAAATCCTATAAATGTATTTTATTTTGGCGAGTGGTATAATTATTGCTGTGAAAGTATAGGGTTATGATTAAATCCTACAAAGGTATTTTATTTTGGCGAAAAGTATAGTTATTGCTGAAAGCGTAGAGTTATGATTAAATTCACATGTCAATAACTTTGGATTAGCCAAATTTATTCCAAATTCATCTTTAATAAAATTAAATCTTTTTCCTGATAAGAAGAACAGCATTAATTAAATTATACTAATCAGATACAAATATTGAATTATTTCTTTAGATGGGATGTCAATGCTGTGAAAGATCTTCCATATTATATGAAGTTAAGTTTCCTTGCTCTATATAATACTGTCAATGAGATGGCTTACGATACTCTCAAGGACAATGGAGAAATTATTATTCCTCACCTGGCCAAAGCAGTAAGTTCAATTTTGTTTTTAATTAATTAGGAATTAAAGTTAATTACATATCTAATATTAATTATTATATTGTTTATGAACTACTTCAGTGGGGTGATTTGTTTATGAACTATTTCAGTGGGGTGATTTATGCAAAGCATTTTTGCAAGAAGCAAAGTGGGCCCACAACAAATCTACACCGTCATTTGAAGAATATATTGAAAATGGATGGCGATCTGTATCAGGAACTGTTATACTTATACTTGCTTTCATTCCCTACTCAATTACGATCAACTCTTGAAATGGCCATCCCTTATTTTTAGACTTTGCAATGATTTGGCCACTTAATCGGTATGCATACATATATATATAGAATTTTAATTTAATGGAGTCAAATATATATAGTTCTTGATTTTTTTTTTTTTGAGAATTATATAGTTTTTGAAAATCAATTTTCAATATTTTCTATATTATTATTAATATTTCTGCGCCAATCTTTAATTTTTTTTATAGAATGAATCATTCATATAATTCTGAAAATTTTTTAATAAAAGCATTCTTGAATCGAAAATTTTTCGAGTATAATAACACATATAATGAATATAATGATAATAATTTCTGATATAATATAATTATATATGTATAAAAAAAATTATTTGTGATACGTTTATGAAGTAATATAGATAATATGTAAAAAAATATTTGAATTTAATGGGGTCAAATTAAATTTTTAATGGAATGATCTATAATATAAATTTTTAATATTTTCTTGTTCAACTCTTTATTCCTTCAAGATGAGTTAATTCAAGGTAAAACTGTAAATTCAATATGGTGTTATATGCATGAATATAGAGTTTTAGAGGAGGAAGCACGAGAACATATAAATAAATTGATAGAGAAGGCTTGGAAGAAAATAAATGAACGTGAAATTGGTGAGACCCAGTTTGCAAAGCCTTTCATTGAAGCAACTATTAATCTTGCACGGATTTCTCAATTCACATACCAACATGGAGATAGACATGAAGCTCCCGATAGTAGATCAAAGAGAAGAGTTGAACGTGAAATTGGTGAGACCCAGTTTGCAAAGCCTTTCATTGAAGCAACTATTAATCTTGCACGGATTTCTCAATTCACATACCAACATGGAGATAGACATGAAGCTCCCGATAGTAGATCAAAGAGAAGAGTTTTGTCATTGATTGTTGAGCCTATTTCTTTAAGCCAAAACTAATGTTCTTACCACATACGTTAGGATGTTTGTCATATATATATTTTCTATAGATAAGTTTTATAAATGAATTTAGAACTTAATTATTTTAATTTAGTGACCAATCAAATAAAAATGGTCTTTCAAATCAAATAGTTAGTTTATCGTCTACGTGGCATAGATGATACTGTTCCTTTTTTTCCCTTTTTTTAATGCTCAATTTATAGCTTTAGTTGATAGTTGAATTGATGTTTAATCACCAAGTTGTTTTACAGTTTGGTTGATATATAATTATTTTAATGAGTTGTTGGGTCTAGAATTGTTATGAGTCCATTGGGCTTGCATCTATTAGGGTTGCTTTAGATAGGTGGATAAACGGGTCAATGCTTGTACAATCTGAGAATAAGAAGAGTTTAGAAAGGAAAAGTAAAGATGAGAGAAATATAATAAATTAGGGGCTGAAAAAGAAAAGGGACATAAAATAACTTGAATGCGGTAAAGTAATTCGATTTATTTGTATATATTTGCGTGTGTATTGCATTATAGTTTTTTCCTTTTTATAGGGATCCTAAGCGTATATGTAGCCACTCAATTTGTGCTCCAAAAGGACTCAGTGATGATAATCTTTTTTTCTGTACAAAACAAAATCTGGACATCTGAGTGCTTTGATTCTTGGACCAATGGTTCATGTCTAAGAAAAGTGAATTGTTTGACCGTTTTACTTTTTCGAGTCACCAGAGGTTTCACATCGAAATCGGTCTTGAGAAGCACCTCGCAGTTCCCTAGGACGCATCTCGATGCGCCATCTCGTTTTACTTGTCATCCGGATCGTTTTAGTGAAAATGTGCCACCTAAGCCTTAGAAAAGCACCATCTCATCTCCCCATTTGCCCATAAATAGGGCAAGGGTTCAAGAGGTGAGGGAGAAGGTTCTTGGATTAGAAGGGAAAACTATTGCATTTTTTTTCCTCATCTTTGATTTAAAGCTACATCTTATGATTATAGCTTGAATCTTGGGTATTATTTATAAATTTTGACAAAAACTCCCTTGAACCTCGTGATTAAACATCAAAAAATTATTCTCATTAATCTAGACCTCGGATCATTCAACAAGTTCTTGGATTAGAAGGGAAAACTATTGCATTTTTTTTCCTCATCTTTGATTTAAAGCTACATCTTATGATTATAGCTTGAATCTTGGGTATTATTTATAAATTTTGACAAAAACTCCCTTGAACCTCGTGATTAAACATCAAAAAATTATTCTCATTAATCTAGACCTCGGATCATTCAACAAGCACCAAAGTTCTTGGATCTCATGATTCATTTCTACACCAATCTTTGGATTTTCTCCAAAATAAGGCAACCTATGAAAGTTTTGATCTTATTTCTTCATATTTTTCCTTTTTCTAGTGCACAAGACACCTATTCTTTATTGGTTGTGAGGAAACTCATGATCAACCAACTATTTCTAACTATGCAAGTAGTGGAGCACGCCACTTGTTGCAAGCCAAACAACTCTACAGTATTTTTCTGGGTTTCCTGATTAGGGAAGATACGCAAGCAACTACGTGTGGCACATGCCCCCTACTAATGGCACATGGACCTTCATTTTAGCAACTCAGTATGTAAAGTTCAATAAAATGACTATGATTTCGGGATCTATTCGAGTTAAGCTTTAAGCATCTTTGCTTTTATTGTGTATCAGACTCATGTTGGCCCGAATAAATAAATAAAAAACAAGAAATTGGTGGTGATAGGCATATTTGTTCATCATCGATGATGAGCATCAAAGTCTTGAACCATAATCTTATGTTAACTTTTAATTAATGCATTTTAATTTACTATCTTTTACTTTTATGCATTTTAAATTTTTATCATTTATATTTTTAAGCACTTTACATTCATACTTCTTATTTATTATTGTACTAACCCTCCTAACTTTAGATTTGACCATTAATCATTCTAACATTCACATTACCATTGTGCTAATTGTTATGATTGAATATTGTTGTGATTAATGTTCTGTCAATGTTAATAGTTATTTGTGTTTTGCTTCTTTTAATATTTATTGCTTTTATATGAATTGGTTTTATTTAAAGGATTCATAATGAATCCTCCTAATTGCTTTGTGTAATAATTTATTAGGTTATGAAATTTTGATGGATTGATGGGTAGATTGTAAAGTACGTTATGAGTTGTAATTCTTTTCTCTTTTCTCTTTTCTCTCTTTCTTTGCTTGTTTATATTTTGTGCTTTACTTAAATGTTATTGTTCATGATTGCCACATTTCAAAATTGCATTAAACTCATTTTTCACCTCAATTAAAATTAATCATATTATTAAGATTGTGAATGAGTGGACAACGAAGGAGTTTGATTTTCAACCGGGCTATCCGGGTGCCTAACACTTTCCTGACCCAACTCCCTTACCCAATCTCTGGTGAAAATTGGATTAGTCATTTTTTAAGAAATGGTTTGATTTTCCAACCGGGTGCTTTATTAATCATATTATTAAGATTGTGAATGAGTGGACAACGAAGGAGTTTGATTTTCAACCGGGCTATCCGGGTGCCTAACACTTTCCTGACCCAACTCCCTTACCCAATCTCTGGTGAAAATTGGATTAGTCATTTTTTAAGAAATGGCTAGTTCATAAATTTTTTTCCTAAAGAGGGCGGTGACTCCAAAAATAGAGCTCTTATCAAAAGTAAAAGGTATTTTTACAAAAATCCTTTTTCCAAAAATAAGGTCGTCTTTCTGAGGACGTTAAAATGAGTTTAATAAGAGAAAACCGATTTGAAGAATTAAAATATACCAAACCCATTTTTTTTTCATTTGTGAATCCTTATAGCATCCTTAGTCTGGCGACTCCACTAGAGATCGAACCTAGAATCTTTGATTTTTTGATTTTGGATTCGAGAAAGGAGGTGACTCTGATGTTCTCCTATCATTCACATTGTTAATAATGATATTATTAACTTGAAATTGAGTTTAAATTGTTGTACACATAAATGGTATTCATTCATTATTCTCTTCTTAATCTCTTTTCTACCCAAAATCTAAAGGTGATATAAGGGGATGTGGTCCTTTCACTCTACTCGATTGTTGGGATCCGTTCTAATATACACCGCCACTAATATACACCACCTGTAAGCCTTGTACCTTTTGGTATGTCAAAAGAATTAGCACAATCTGTCATCACCATTGGCTTAGACTAAAAGTTAAATTGGAGGAAGCAACCAATTCTTGCTTATGGAACCCAAGACTTGTTTAACCCGACCAAAGCTCATATAATGACACTAGTTCCTTCCCTTAGAGTTACCATAATAAATTAATATTTTGTCATTCATCCAATAAATGTGGAGACGTCGGTCTAAAGCCCAATGATGGTTTATGGGTCGAACCACTTTGTCCTAAGGTTTAGATAGACTTTTTACCATGAATCGAGTGTGGAGATATAAGGGTGGAGGTCATGCATTCCCCAATTCCCATCCCCTTATTTGTATATATTTTTATGATTTGTGTTTTCTTCATACATCACGTAATGTGTTTCTTTTTAAGCCATACAGGAATATTCTGTCATGTCTCGTTTTGAAACGTCGAAGAGAGAGAGACCTAAGAGAAGTGCTTCAATCAAAACGAGCCAAATAAGCTCTCTCCACTGATGATATTCCTATCGAGGCCAAATCTCAAGTGTCTAAAAAGGAAGCTCCTCTGATTCAATCATTAACATATGAAGAGACCCTAGAAGAGGCTCATCAACTGTTGCTCGAAATCAAGCAAGCACAACTTGAAGCCATAGCTCTCTTCCAAGACGTGGAGGCATATTTCACTCTCATGCGTAACATTGCCAACCGCCTTATGGAAATAAGGCATTTCACTTTAGAGGATGCTAGACTATATCAAAGGTTTTAGATCTTGAGTTTTAAAGCATTGTAAATATTTAAATAGGGCCTAAGTATTCTATGTAAAAAGTCAACTTTTGGAATGCCTAAGACCTTATATCAAAGGTTCTTTTAGTGCTAGACTATATCAAAGGTTTTAGATCTTGAGTTTTAAAGCATTGTAAATATTTAAATAGGGCCTAAGTATTCTATGTAAAAAGTCA